CACACACACACACACACACACACACACACACACACACACACACACACGAACACGCACACGCACGCACACGAGTCTCCGCATGTATATTAGAGGCGTGAGCCGCTGCACTGGTCCTTTTATTCTGGGTGTTGAAATGTAAGTCCCTTCTCTTCTGTTCATTTGTTGAAAGGCGTCTGGTTTATTTCTTTGTTGTGTTTTCTTTTATTTATGTTTACTCTGCTGCTTGCTTTTCAGTCTCCCCTCTCGGTTTTGTACAACTTTTTGAAGTTTTAAGGATGTGAGCTTGACATCTTCACTACGAGACTCTTCTTGTGTACAAAAGAGGGAATGCCTCAGATCTCAAAGGACTGCTCTGTGCGCCTCACTCACGTGGCCTTCAGGGCGAACACACAGGGTGTCTCGAATGTTTTTTTTTTTTTTTTTTTGAATGTTTTGTTTTTAAGTTGACTATATTTTCCTCACTGTCTGTGATCTCTTCTGTGACCCCTAGGTTATTTAGAAGAATACTGTTTACTTTTAACACCTGGGAGCCCCAGGTATCTGGTTTCTGGGTGTGCCCCGAGGCCCCTTTTCCGTGTTTCAGTCATCTCAGACTCAGGGAGACTTGTCCTGGAGCTTGTAGTTTGTGAACGGCCCATGGGTACTTGGCAAAGTGTGTCTGGTGGCATGGCGTGTCAAAGTGTTCTCAGCTGTATCACTGTCCTCACTGCTCCCTCAGCTTTCTTTAGCATTATTGTATCTGGTATAGATTTCTTCCGATTTTGCCCCATCTTTGCCCCATCTTTTATAGTGTGTTATGTACTTTGCTCACTGGATTCTTTAATGTGTCAGTCATAGTTATTTTAGAATCATTGTCAAATAACTTCAGTATCTGGATCTGCGCGTGATAGCCTAACCCTGTAATCCCAGCACTTGGAAGGTGGGTCAGGAGTTCAAGGTTAGAGGAAGCTAAGGCCAGACTGAACTATAGGAGACCCTGTCTCAAGCCTCAAATGATAATGATAACAACAGCAACTATTACTTCAGCACTGAAGCATCTCTGGGTCTGGTTTTGCTGACATCTTAACTCCTGCAGTGGGCTGCTTTCTTTGTTACTTTTTACTCCTATCTGGTAGAGTTTTATTAAATGTCTGACATTGTATATATAAAAGACAACTGGAGACTAAGATAAATACTATTTGTGCCTAGAAATGAGCTGTTTTTTCCTTTGGTCAGTGTAGAGGTCAGGGCAGCCCTTGGACTGTGGTTCCTTCAGTATTCACTTTTCTTCAATGTGTGCGCGCGCACGTGTCTGTGTGTGTGTGTGTGTGTGTGTGTGTGTGTACGTACGTGCGTGCGTGCGTGCGCGCGCGTGCGTGTGGGGACCACGCAGAGCTTCTCCTCCTCCTCCCATGTTGCTTGTCGTTACCTGAGAGGATTTGTGTGATGCCAGGTCTGGGAGTGGTAAGATTGTGTCCCTCGCTCTGCCCCAGAGGCACCCAGCTTTTGAAAGCTTTTGGGAGCCCTTGTGTCTAGGCCGTCAGCGTCTGGGGTAGGCGTGTTGCCCACAGGTAGTGTGTGACAGTTTGGAATCTGCATCTGCTTTCTTCCCCCTCGTGTTTTTGTGGCTGCTGTCTTCCTCACTGACTCTGCGAGTGCCCAGTCTCACCTTGGAATCTGTTTCCTTCCTCAGCTCTCCTGCCCCTGACTCACACGGAGACTGTTTCTATGTTGAAAGTGGAACTTTCCTGAGTCACCTTATTCAGCTCCTAATTTATTCTCCTTTAGCAAAATGAGAAAGTGTTGGGCCTGTCATTTTAAATAAATCTAGCTTACTTTTTCCCTCATTAAGGTGACAAACATGAATATCTTGTTATCTTGTTTTGTGAATTGGTTGCAAGAATGATTTTTTAAATTACCTGTTCCGGTCTACTTTCACATCAGACAGCTAGTCAGATTTGAAAATAATGGTGGTGTTTTCTATAATAATGATCTTATGGATTATCTAGCTCAACATCAAAGAAACTAACGTTTCAGAAGAAGCTTTTGTGTCTTTGGCCTTAGAAGGTGGCAGGAAGGGGCTTGCCCTGGTGGGACCCGTGAAGTTGTTTAAATTAAAGGGTAACCTGCTTGTTTGTTTCCCCAATGTTTCAGGTATTGGTGGCAATTTGGTGGCCATTCAGGCTAGCAGGATTTCTACCTACCTCCATTTGCATAGCATCCCTGGAGAACTACCTGAAGAGCCCAAAGGTTGTTCCTATCCGTTTAGGACGTTTTTTGGTTCAGGTAAGCGTGTGTGTGTGTGTGTGTGTGTGTGTGTGTGTGTGTGTGTGCGCGCGCGTTGGCATTGTATATTTTCAGGAACTGCTGCCCACCAAGATCTGGGGCAGGCAAAATGTGTTGAATTTGTGAATGTTGTGCTCAGCTAATCTCAGGGAACAAAGGCCTCATGGATCCCCGTGTGCAGCTGCCGAGGGTCTTCAGGATATTTGCACTTTATATTTCTGTCTCTGGGGCAGCTTGTCAGTTAAGAAAGAGGAGCCAAGCTGGGTTCAGTGGCACACCCCTGTAATCCCCTGGGAGGCAGAGGCAAGTGCATTTCTGTGAGTTCAGGGCCAGCCTGGTCTACAAGGTGAATCCAGGAAGCCAAGGCTACAAAGAGAAACCCTATCTTAAACAAAACAAAACAGAAAACAAGAAAAGAAAGAAAGGAAGGAAGGAAGGAAGGAAGAAAGGAAGGAAGGAAGGAAGGAAGGAAGAAAAAGAAAGAAAGAAAGAAAAGAAAGAAAGAAAGAAAGAAAGAAAGAAAGAAAGAAAGAAAGAAGAAAGAAAAGAAAGAAAGGGGAGCTGTATGCACAATCACAAAAATCACCCATGATTTAGGGACAGCTGGACTTTTTTCCCTGTACTGCTCCTTTTGCTCTGAAGCAGGACGTTAGGAGACAGCCCAGTGACAGGGAACAGCGTGTTGCTTATATGAACAGATATGTAACTACCAGTATGTTATGAATCATTATTTTATTATTTTATGTGCTTGGGTGTGTGCCTACAAGTGTGTCTGTGCACACTTGCATGCCTGGTAGTCTCGGAGGCTGGAAGAGGGCATCAGATCCCCAGGAACGAGAGGGATAGAAGGTTGTGAGCCACCACATGGGTCCTAGGAATTGAACCTTGGTCCTTTGAAGGAGCAGTCAGTGCTCTTAACCTCTGAGCATCTCCAGCCCCTCTTTGTAATATCAGTGACGGGACAGTAAAAGACATAAAATTAACATTCCAGGTTTTGCATTTTTTTCTTGTTTTTACGATAGATAGTATTGTTCTCCAAAATAAGTTTTTAATCAAGCATCTTTTATTTGATTTTATAATTAGACCTAATAGGGGAATTTCCAAGATGTAAATGAGTTGCAAATAACTAAGACTTATTTTTAGCGGTGTAGGAATAGGTATTCTTCAGTCTTGCTTTTCTGAGATAGGGTCTCCTTTTGGCAGGGCTGGCTTTCCACTTGAGGTGCTCCTGCCTCAGCTTCTGCTGGGATCACAAACGTGTTGCCGTGCCCACCCCGTGTAGACATTCACTTTCTTTTTTCATCCATGCTGGGGCTTGAGCCTTGTAACTGGCGACAAGTAGGCCCCCCTCGCTGAGCTACACCGCAGCTGCAGCCTTCGAGTGCGGTTTCTGACGCGCCTGCCCTTCACGTTGCAGGAGTGAACAACAAGTCTGCCCAGGTTCTTCTGCTCCTGGTGGTTCCCGGCCACCTGATCTTCCTCTACACGATCCACCTGATGAAGAGCGGCCACACCTCTCTGACCGTAGTCTTCGTCGTTGTGTACCTGCTTGCTGCTGTGCTCCAGGTAAGAGGGCCAACCTCTTCAAGTCTCTACAGTATGCAGCGTAGTTACCATGCCAGAAGTCAGTGGAGGCCTTTTCGTTGACTTGATCTAAAGCCAGTGAGTGGGACACTTCTGATACAGCCTGGTACACAGAGCGTTTGGATTGCCTGGGTTTCACAGCAGCCTTTGTTGGTTATCCTGTTCTGGAGGACACATCTTCCTAGAGGTTCTTGAAGCAGGGAAAGTCGGAAGTCCATTTTGTGCCTGTGCCTGGGCTGCGCCCTACTTTCTGACTGATACTTCTCTTTTGGAATTTTAAGGTGTGCCTTATTGCCTTCTATGCTCGAATTGTGGGTGAGAATTGGTGACATCTCACTCCTGAATCTGTTGTATGAACTTGCTCTTTTATCTTTGTTTATTTTCACATGTGTCTATGTGAAGGAGTGCAGGTACATGTGTGTGTGTGTGTGTGTGTGTGTGTGTGTGTGTGTGTGTGTAGGTCAGAGGACAACCTTGAAAGCTGGTGCTTACCTTCCGCCTTGTTTGAGGCAGTCTCGTTTGCTGCTGCATTTGTAGACTGGCTGTCTGGTGAGCCTCCCATCCTGCTGCTGCAGGAGCTCTGGGATCCACATGTGTTCCTCTGCACCTGGCTTCACGTGGTCCTCACACCTGAAAGGCACACACTTGACCCACTGGGCTGTCCTTCCCACTCTCTCCACACTTTCTGTTTAACAATTGTGCTTTTTACTTCTCTTTTTCTCGTTGGAATGTTGGTAGTTTTAAATTATATACTGATAAACTCTGGTATGGGTATATTTTGTCTCCTTCGTTGACTTATCAGTTCAAAAGCTCATATTCATTAATTCTAGGGAAACCTTCTTTAAATATTATTTTTTGATGAATTTCCTTTTCTTCTTCTTTCTCCTTCTCCCTCTCCTCCTCCTCCTTCTTCCTTTCCTTCTTCTTCTCCTTATTCTTTTCTTTCTCCTTCTTCCTTCTTCTTTCTTCTTTCTTCATATGTAACCTAAGCTGGCCTCAAACTCAAATGTAACCTACACTGGCCTCAAACTAGTGATCCACTGGCCTTTGATGTGAGCCCTGGGTTACGGTAGTACCCACCATTTCTGCCTCCTCGTGGACTCTTACATGGTTACTAGACTTGCATCAAGCCTAATTTTAAATGTTCTCTGTTTCGTTATCTGTTTTATCTTTAAATTTCTATTTCTCTCTTTTTGTGGTAGAGAAGGCTTTTAATGTTAAAATTTTTGATGTTTTCTTTTATGTGAACAAACCCTTATCCATGCTCCTGTAAACAACTTTAATGAAACTCATTGGGTCTCTCTTTCTCCCTCACACACATACACAGACTCAAAAATGAAACTCAAAGGGGTCCTGGTTTGGGAGAGGAAGGAGTTTGGAGAGGATAATAAGTATGATGTCCATGTATGAAAATATCATAATGTAACCCAATATTATATATTTAATTAATATATGCCAATGAAAAATTTAAAAGTGTGTTGCCATAATAAATGCCCACATTTTAAAAATGAAATAGTACCAAAATGTTCTATGCCCCTAGATCTGCTTCTCAGAGACCATAACTTTGAAATATTTTAGCTATGTTTTTCTGCCGTTATTTGTATGTTTTAAAGTAACATGCCTAAACTTCAAGTGTATGGTTGCTTTCCTTTTTGACTTTGGCTTTAAAATAAAGTGAGGGCTTTAGGACCATTATTACCGTTTTTATTGTAATGCAGATGGTTTGCTCTGGCTGTATCTCTTTGTTTGTGTATTATTTTCCTTGGTATTAATAATTCTTCTTTTACTTGGGTCTCTTCCCATAAATTCAGCCTTAGTATTTTCAGCTGCTCCACCTTGTCTGGCTTCTTGTTCAACTTCCTAGACTTGGTGCCCAAACAATGAGGAATTAAAACAATGGCTGAGGTGGCATTTGCCTTTGACCCTCAGAGGACTTGCCCTGGAGGAATGAGGCTAGGGAAGGCTACTCCAGTGCGCTGCATCCTCAGTATTACAGGAGATTTGTTCTTTGGTATGAGACAGTGATTTTTAAAGTGCAGAATGATCCAGTGAGCATAGAGAGAAAAAATTAAAACTCCTGCCTGCCTGGTATGTTATCATCTTTATGATTACTTAATAATATACATATTAGCATAGTATTTAAAGTTTGCTTAGATATTTTTTATTAGAGAGCAGCATAGTGTGGGATTCTAGATTGCTGAATACACAGTGAGAAAGCACAGAACTGTGCCAGGAAAGGAACGTCATATACAGAATTTGAGGGTGGAATGGGCAAGATGAGGTCGTAAGGCAGATTGCCAAGTGAGGGAGGCTAGAGTAGATTTTTAAAACAACCTAATCTTTACAGCTTAATGGAGAATTTTAAACATCTGTATAATGCTTTCAGTCTTATTTTTAAAGCCACTATTAATGCTTTAAATTTTTTCTTTATTCACTAAGTCTTCATTTGATTCGATCCATGTCTCAGTGGCTTTTATGTCCCCAGAGCAGTGAATTCAAACACTATTGAAGGACTTGTGGTCTGATACTCCCTGAACGCACACATGTTCTGTGGTGTAAATGCTGGCTGTGTGAGGCATTTCTGGGAACAGAAGGAAAAGCAGCCGCTCGTCTGGGAGTCGTCTTTCTCCCCGATGATAGACACGCATTTATTCCCAGGGCTTTAGAAGCTGTGAACTGTGATGCCCAGGAGATGGTCATTTAGTGCCGTCTATGTTTGCTGCTCTTCTCAGCCTGAGAGAAGCAGACAGGTTTGGTCTGGCCAGCCGTTTCTAGAGCAGGTTTCCATGTGCGCTCTCCCCTGTGGCTCACAGACACACATGCTGCTGTGTCTGCGTCTCTGCAGTGGACTTTCCCACATTCTTCCCTGTAAGCTGACGAAAATAGAAGTAATTTTTCTGAGATTATTTACAAAACATTTCAGTTTAAAAAAAAGATTTAAGGTGTGTGTGTGTGTGTGTATCTGTGTGTCTGTGTCTGTAGAGAGAGGCTGAGACATTGGCTCTCCTGGAGCTATAGTTACAGGCAGTTGTGAGCTGCCTGATGTGGGTGCGGAGGTTTGAACTCAGATCCTTCTGGAAGAGAAAGACAGTCTCTTAATCTCCAGCCTCAGATTTCACTCTTAAAGTGTGCTTCTGTGCCCCCCACTTCTGAGACAGGGTCTCTTTATTAAGAGGCTACCCAGGATCATGCTGCGTAGACCTGGATGGCCTCAGATTCACCTGCCTCCGCTCCTGAATGCTGAAATTAAAGATGGGTGCCGCCAGATGCGGCTTCTTGTGTCTTTGGCCTAAATCCTTACAAGTGAAGGCTGCAAAGCGGGACTTGGGGAGAAGGTAATTGACCATTGATTGTGTCTCAAAGGTCCCTTCTGCGTAGTAGTAAGTGTAGTAGTGATCACTTTGTTTTGAAAATGGCAGTTTGCTGCATCGTGGGCGCTACACAAGACTTCTGGGACATATGAAGAACTGCGGTAGAGTGTGCTTAGGCTGGTACTCTGGACAGTGGCCTCCTCATACTTACCTTAGGAACACTGGTGTATCTTAGTTCTCAGGGCTCACTTACATCTGCATCGGTAGCCACAGAGTATTGGAATGGCGAGTCACTGAGTGGCAGTGGGGGTCAGGGCCCATGGAACTGGCTCTGAGTCCCTGCCACCATTCTGAAACTCCTCTTGGAGTCACTCCTCTGTCTAATGAAGCACGAAGCGCTGTAGTGACTGCATGACCACACTTGGAACCTCAGGACAGCCACCCACAAAGTAAGTAAGTTAGCTTACTTAGTCTCAAGAAGTTATTAATCTGTGGGGGGAAGGCTGTCTCTGAGTGCAGAATGAGCACACTTCATCTTCCTTGCATGGTAGCTGAGTAGTTGAGTAGCTTTTATTAAATGATGGGCCCATAGCTTGTACTTCAAGGGAAAGAGCCAAGCAGTCAGGGGGTTGTGTTTTCATTTGGGTTTTATTGCCACGAAGAGACCCATGGCCACAGCAACTCATATAAAGGAGAACATTTAACTGGGCCGGGCTCACGGTTTCAGAGGTTTAGTGCATTAGCATAGTGATGGAAAGCATGGCAGCATGCAGGCAGATGTGGTGCAGGAGGTAGAGCTGAGAGGTCCACATCTTGATCTGCAGGCAGCCAGGACACTGGCACACCGGCCAGACTTGAGCTCACAAGACCACAAAGCCCACACCTCCAACAAGAGCACACCGACTCCAGGGAGGCCACGCCTCCTAAGTGTGTCACTTCCTATGGGCCATGTATTTACACACATGAGTCACTGGGGGCCGTTCCTACTCAGACCACCATAGTTTACAACAGCCTGCTTGCTCGAATTCTCACCCTCAGTCTTCATAGCTCCTTGTTCTTTGGGATTTAAATCTATAAGATTTCAATTGGAAAGATTTTCTTAGTTGTTTTTTAGAGATAGAATCTTATGTAGACCAGGCTGTGCTTGAACTTGTTCTGTAGCTGAGGTTGACCTTGAACTCTTGATCCTCTTGCCACCACCTTCTGGTTGCTGCTATGTGCCCCACACCTTGTTGCTTTATTCTTTCCATGTAGCTATTCTTCCTTTGTCTCTTGGTTGGTTTTTGGCTGTTAGCTTGGGTTGACAGGGTCCTGTGAAGAAAAGGAAATGTTGTGACAGGTGGAACTATAATTTCCTCACTTTTCTATTAGTTGGAATAATATCTTCCTTGAGATCCGATTGATAGGAAGCAGGTGAACTGTTGGGATTTCTTTGCAGGAGTTTTCCAGATGCCTTTCTGAAATACTGTGGTATTATGCTGCTGTTTGGGTAGCTAAGGTGAAGCAGCTTGCTTTCCAGGTGCTTCCTCAGTGTGTGCTTCTCAAAAGTGCTTTAGGTGGGTGTGTCTGGCTTCCCACAGAAAGTCATGTGACTATACATCTTGTAGAGGAGCAGCACTCAGGATCCCAGGATAGGGAGGCCTGGGGGAAGGGTTCCTTTCAGTCTCGTCA